AAAAATTTGACCATTGATTATTTTTAAGAAAGCATCGGAAATAAATAGCCAATCTGTGACTCGTGGAAAATCTAATTTTAAACGTATGTATTTGTGTTTAGATTTACAATTATTAGATTGGCTATGTGCCAGTCGACGGTGAGAATTATCAACAGGACGTTGTCAATTATTAGACACCTCTGGCAATATCGACGTGACGTAATCTTTTATCGAGACCCGGAACCATTAAACGTCGACCACCACAATGGAAAGCAACCAGTTCCGCGAGAAAACGAACGAGAAAATGTCACGTGCAAAAGGCAATAATTCTTTTTCAATGGCACTTTACCTCACCCTGTTGTTTTTGATCGGTTATCTAATTTAATGTCGATTTCGTGGTCTCCGCTGGGCGAAGTAAATTGCCGAAAGTAATTAGATTTTGGCTGCTTTTGAGGGGCTGCAATTTGCTTGAAAGCTCTCGCATGGCGTGAACATCGACTGTTATGAAATATTCAAATTTTAGATAATTCTGAAGAAATACAGGAACACTGATGAAACTTTAATGCAGTTATTTCCATTAAGCCTAATATATTAATTAGTTATGAAAGGCAGAGTTGCTGTCAATTTTCGAGCGTTGAAATAAGGTGTTGCGCATATTTCGTCTGAAAAACTCTTGAAAGTGGTCTACAACCGATCGTGAAGCGTGATCTTGCGTCGTTCATATTCGTTAATGAAATAACCGTTGATAGAAAATCGATGCATAAATCAAGCGAGGCGTTTTTAGATGAGCCAACTCCTCCATCCTTCTCGTCCATAAACGTTCGAAATGGTTTACTTAGAGTGTCCAGCATAATGCATGATTACTAGTTGCTACCTTCTCTTGATTACAGATTAATCGGGTCCAATCGCGTTCGATGCTTTCCACTTTGCCGTAAAACGATTCACCCTCTTCCTTTTTTCTCCATAAATGATCACCTCTACATATATCGTTGGATTATCGACGATCATCGAGCGATCGATAATTTTAAATACAGATCGTTTTGCATCGCGTAATCGTGCTAAAGTGTCCCGTTGCTTGCGTCATTGGCTTTGATCAATGTTTGTGTAATTAATATTAATTATTATCTTGTAGACTATGAAATATGTAGATACGATTTCCAGCCTCGATGATTTAGAAACGAATTTTTCCAAATTTCCATTGGGGAATCTTAATCATTTTACTTTCTGATTGATTTATTTCACCATTAAATTCGTTCTGTACGTTTCGGTGCTGTTTCTGTGTGCGCATCTATCGGTAGATAAAGGCCATAAAAAGCCGTATGGGGCGTATAATAGAAACGTTCCCTCGGATGAGTAGACTGGTCTGACGTCTTGTCTAGATGAAATGATTATGTGTCGACGGTGAACGCTACTCGGAAAGTCAATAATGTACGGATGACTATAGCAGACCATAAAAAGTTGATAATTGACGTAGAAGTAAGGCGTGTATTTTGTAATCGTCGTTCGTTTCTATTAAGGGGTATCTTGTGTGAAATACTTTATCTAAATCAAGTGTTAGATGTTAATGGTGTCTGTTCGTGTAGCTGAGCGATCTCCATAAAATTTTAATTAATGCCTATTTAACTTTCCACAGACGAATGCCGGGATATTTCCTCCAAGACAGGGACAATTTTAATTTATTTAAAAACTATTCCTTCGAATTTGGGCGTCTAATTTTAGTCAAAGTTTCATATGTTTGTGACATGTATTTCGTAAAAAACACTAGACTAATTAATTATGTCGGAGTGATTATCATGGGAAAGAAGGTCGTCCAGTGTTCGGTGATATATCGAGCAATGCAGCCACTTTGCGCCCCTCTGTGCGCAGGTATTTCGTCACTTCCGACAGAGTCGTTTGTCAGCGTTAGCGAGAGGGAGAGAGGCGAAGCCGGCCGATCGGAATAAGCCAATTTTCCGAGCGATTTCTTATCGACCGCGCCGATCGTCCCTCGTGATCCACTTGCTTTAGCCACTCGCGAGACCTCGTCACGTGTCGTCTCAGTGTCGCACACGTTTTATCGGCGATCGTTTAACGGTTCGCGCTTGCAACTCCAGCGTTTTTCTTTATGAACACTACCTCGTTTCGATCCAGACGCTTAATTTTGAGTCGGTATATTGAAAAATGGAACATAAACTTAGAATACTGAAATCGAAACTTGAACACTTTTCTATCGGAATACTACACCGGGCTATAAAAGCACCTTACAAATTTCCTAGCAAACCCAGTCTGAAGCTTCGAAAATGTTATTGCTCGGCAGTTACGAGCAATTTAATTAAGCTCAGTCCCCGACGTGTAGAACGGAAGAGGAGGACGGTTCCCGGTTCGGGCCAGGATCCCACGATTTCTACAAGAAGTTTCAATATATCGGTCGCGATGATAAGGTTTTAGTGGATCGTAAATCATCTCGTATCTAAGTGGCTGAACGAGGAGATCCTCGAAGGAATGCCCGGTTCCGGGGCCAAGCATTAATGAATTTCCATAATGGCGCGATAACAGTGTACACAGTGGGCCATTAATACGCACTCGTGAGCTCTTTACGATCGTTTTACGTTTCTCGTAAACTTTGCTCGCGTACAATTTGTCCCTGTTCACATCGAACGGACTAGCAACGGTGAACCACCGATCGTCCAGCGACTTCTGTGAAAACAAGTTCCCTTCGATCTTTTATCGTCGATGATCGGTGGTTCTGGCGAAATTGTTATTACCCGGGTTATTTATTGCAACCCTCGAACCAATAAGGAGCTTCGATATCGATGCGCAACGTGCCACGGACTACCAACGGGAAGATGATCCTCGAGGATCTCGGACCAACGAGTCTGGCAATATTATATTTATTGTTCCGTAATGCAATTTTCTAGCGGGATATTAGATTTGTATATTTACGGAGAGAATTTCTTGCTTCAGGATCTTTGAATATCTTATTTGCCGAGATGATTTGATTTTTTAAATTCCCGTTTAATTAGAATGCCACCCCAGGCATTCGGTCAGAAATTAATAATACATCGATTGGATATTCGGTTATGGTATCACGAAGGTCCATTTACGTCCGCCATCGCGATTCACGATGAGAGTAGTTAAAAGCAGAGGGTTCCAAAGAATCGAATTACGAGGACGAGAGAAGGGAAAACGACGAAGGAACACGGTCGTCGTAAGGAATGGGACTTCCACTCTGTTGCTCGTGAATAGTCCCAAAGGCCGGGGTCTTAAAAGTCCTCCTCGAGGCTCGATGAAAAAACAACAAAGCGTTGGTTGCTCACAATAGCGGGTCCCGAGGCCCCCCAAGACCCCCGTTTCTCTATTTGTGTTTACAATAAGGAACACAGAAGCGATGGAATTCGCTCTCATGGTTGGCGAGGGTGACCAAAAAGGAACCTGACGTTCCCTGGCAATCTCGCGGAAATCCTTTACAATTCTAACGCCATCTTTCAAATCCCGCTTTCATCCAAATCAATTCTCAGCGATTAGATCAACCAGATAATTTCCTTTTAATTCAAGAAAATTGATTTTGTTAAACGGTCCTTCTCGAGATTCGAAAACGACCTACGCTGTTTCTCGAGGCAATACTGACGACTTACGTAACCGAAACGGGAGAAACTCCTTCTTTAAATCAATTTAAACACGTCGAATCTGCTCGTAAAACCCACGCGGGACCATTCGAATGGTCCACCTCTTCGTTCTAATTGAGACCAGAGATAACGTGTAACGGATTGGAAGAACGAGGATGGTAGAACGGTTGAAAAATGGGCAAACAAGAAACACAGCTTCCCCACGCGTTTTCGTTCACTGCTCATTGCCAGCGATGACTAGCAGATAGCGTTTTTAAAGTTTCAACCTGACTGGAGTATGGTCCTCCGGCAAACGGTTGCCAAAGGTACAACGGACGATCGTTATTACGACGTCAAAATGAATGACGGAGACACTTTGCACCTTGAGAACCAACTTTTCGTGAAGTACGAAGAGATAACAATGAATGATAGCTTTCTCCTTCCCAGCTTGAGAAGAGGCGCTTTCCGCAATTGACATCGATACGTTTCTTTCTCGGTATTGTTGAAATAAATTTGGAGCTATCAATCTTGAAACTTTGATCCTTCTCCCAAATTGCGACCCTTGGATTATAAAAATAATAGATCAGATTCACTAAAAATATAACTGTTTCCTAATAGAAACCTTGAATATGGAACATCTGTTATTTTTGCATCGTTTCGGAATTGAACGTGACAGTTGAATGAAATTGTATTCTGGATTCGAGTTTGATGGACGCGGTGATTCCCCCGGATAGTTTAACAGAGTGCTTCTTCAACTATCTCAATGGTTAGAAATAGTTCGAAGGTTGCTAACTTTCGGTATAAATAGATATGCCAAGTATTTCTCTAGGTCTACAAGGATTTGCACTTTGTACCGTTCTAATGCGGTATTTCAACGAGATTGACAAGAGAAGAAAACTATTATTGCAATGGAGATCGCTGATAATTAATACAATAATAAAATGATAAAAGGACACCTTTTGAAAAAGCTCATTTTCTAAAAAGAAAAACAGCACCAAAGCCCCAAGGGGTATTTAGCGTTTGCTTTCATTTAACGGAGCGACAGTGTTTTCCGCGACGGAAAGACTGGACGGTAAATAGTCATATCTAACATTTATCAGACGACACGGCCTCGTCAAGATCCATTTGCGAAGCAGGATGCACGGGAGCATTACCGTGTCGTGATGTCAAATACTAACGGTGGAGAAGCGAGTGGTATCATTACCGGACCTCATAGTGGGACCAGCGCATCTCGCACCCCCTACCATCCCACCCCCCTCGACGTATTTCTCTGTTGCGCAACATAGAACAGCGAACAGGTTGATAGATCTTGATGGAGCACCACTCGCCACTGACTATGGTAAATACCCGGCTCTCAATTAGACGCGCGGTGTAATTCAATCACGCGAAAAATAAACGAGGGGGTATACTTTTAAATATACTTTTACTCAAACTCACCGTTGATGTTGGGTCGAATCCTTATTTCCAAGCATCTAAGTCACATGCAGCTGCCGAAATACTCTTTCATGCTTGCACATGGGAGAAAATAAAGGTGAATTCAGCACCTAAACAGAACGAAAGAAGTTGATTAGTATAAAAGAAATGAAAAATCTTAATGAAAAATCTCATCGTCCCTCTATTCCCAAATCACTCCGAGTCGTCTCTATCCCCCAAGTCCATCAAAACTATTACCGAAACTCGTTCCCTGAAGTATACCAAATTTCAGGCTAACTACAACTCACCCCCGAAAACGATTCACCCTTGGCCGTGGCATTAATTTGTGCCACGGGAATCCCCCGTCAAGAATGTGCCCGCGAGACTTGCGGCGTGTCTCGGCAACGAGGGATAGCATAGCATCCGAGCCAAAGGGTGGAAGAGGTAGGCGAAGAAGAAGAAGAAGAAGAAGACGACGGAGGAGGAGGAGGAGGAGGAGGAGGAGGAGGAGGAGGAGGAGGAGGAGGAGGAAAAAAAGAAGGAAACGAGAGTGTCTGGTAAGGAGGATGAGATAGAGAAGTGGTGTGGGGCTAAGACGTTGTCCTGCCAACAGGTGGTAGCAACCTCACACTACCAACTCTGCTTCAGCACGGCAGCTCAACCCCTTTTTCACCCTCCGTGGCAGCAACCACGACGATAACCCGCGGCGACACCCGATAAAACGGGCCGTAGAGAGGGTTGGAGGTCTTCTACGATGCCGGGATAAGTGGGTCGTGGTCGGGGAACGGAAAAGAAAAACACCGGAGGGATTATCGGCCGTGGATACACCCTCTGTTACGCCAACGCCATGCCGCCCCTTTAACGAAAGAAACTTGCTCTTTGCTAGTAGCACGTGCGCTCGCTCTAAGACGTTGCTGCGCTTGCTCTCTCTCCCTCTCTCCCTCTCTCTCTCTGTCTGGTTACGATTCTCAAACAGGACTACGACGGGACGGCGTGCTTCCACAACCGGGACGCTCGAGTAGTCTGTATTTTGCGAGCCGAGAATTTTGCGGTCTCCAGGGGAAAGGACAAATCACCCAACCACCCCTCGTCTCACTCTTTACCCCTATCCTAGCAGTCACGTCGCGCCGGGAATTACAACGGAGGCTCGACCAGCTGGAAACACGACAGCGATTTTTCCACCGACGACACGGTCAGACCTTGATTTTCGCCTTGCGCTACCACTTAACACAGTGATCATTTCAAGTAACTCGAGAAGGAAGATTCTTTCTTCTTCTGATTTTTATGAAATCGTACAAGTTTGTGGAGATGAACCTTGCGAAATAAATTTTTTTCTGTATAACTACACTAGCGTAACATTTATTTCAAGAGAAAAAATAAATCCTTCTTTTTAAATGAAACACACTTTGATTTAGCTCGAAAAGGTATGGAACGAGCTGGCGGTGTCGCGGCAATTTTAACGAAGACACCATTAAATCGGTAGGACGAGCTGATGCAAAAGATTCGGTCGTCTCAAAGGCAAATCTTAACGAGCGGGAACAATGAACCCATGTGAATTATTAGCCGGCACAAAGCGTCTGTGTTTTCGCCGTTTAATAAAACGCGGAATGAATTAAGCGAGCGACCTTTCTTTTCCCCTATCTCTTTACATCCCTCTTCTATACTTCTCTTCCTCTCTCTTTTTCTCTTTTTTTAATTAACGAGCCTTCCAGTGTCCTTTGCTTCTCTCAGGCTGTGCTCTCGATACCGTTGTTCGACCAATTACGACACTGATAACGAGCAAGACCACATCGAACCTCCTGACAGTCGTTTATTGATTAGCACTCTAGCCGATTTCGTGGTTTCAGCTTCAAGAACGAACGACGTCGTTGCAAATTGCGAGCTTGAAAAATCTTGCAAATGTATGCGCGCCGAATACCATGGGAAATTTCATTGAAATTCGAAAGCAAACATTTGTCATGCGTCGATAGCGAAATTTCCAATGGATTACGTAAAATTCGGAAAATTATATCGATAAACTAAACTTTCCTTTTGCTACTTCGTGAAATTAATCTAATATTCAGATACCGATCACTGGCAATCCCTAAGGGATTGAAAGTATTAAAAATATTCAAGAGCAACTGAACTAACAAAAATTCGTGTACACACTGCGTAAGAAGGGTACCTTTGAAAATCGCGAAACTAAACACAAACGATAGATTCGATTTGTTCGAGGGAACGTTTTCCATTCTAGGGTCCCCCCTTTTTTTTTAACAGAGGACAAAGGCCCGTTTGTTGGGCCCTCGGGCTCACAAAGGGTTCCATTGCAGCCAATGCGGCCGCATAAAACGAGCTCTGTCGAGCCTTCCTTCCTTCTCCTCCTTACTTTTTTCTTTCCTTCTCCGAACGCGTCGATTCCGCTGGTAACAAGAATTTGTTACATTGACGCTATTTTTGTTCTTGGCTGTTATTGCACGGTGCAACATTGTAATCTTCTCTGCAATACCAGAAGCAATTCCATCGCATTCGTGCACCGTGTTTGTGTATTTCGAAATTGATCAATTTTACAAGGTATATAAATTATGAAAGAAGAAACCACGAAAACAGTAAATCTAAATAAGGGAAATAGAAAAAGTATCGAAAAAGAGAATTGCTCGGAGGGAAACGGTAAAATTCGATGATGAATTTCGGAGAAACGAGGATCCTCGGTTTGCTAGGTTTCCTTACGTGCACGGAATGATGCCGCGGGTCTCGGTTCCTCGGGTCGAGTTCAAGGGTTTTGAGGTGAAAACGGGACCGTGATTCCGAGCACAAACTGGATCGACGGGTTCCTGACTTGACGAAGCCTTCGACCTCCGACCTCCGCTCATGCAAGAGGTCGAGATGAAGTTGCAGGATCGTATATCGTTGCTTCACTTGCAGTAGATCAACCTTCTTGCCCTCTCAATACCACCACCATTTTTTACCATCCCTTCGCTCTCTATCCTGTCTTTCTCTTTCTCTCTCTATCGATCCCCACGAGCTGCTTCACGTCGAAAGACTACGCGTCGTTCCATGTATCCACGAGAAGCACGCTTCGTTCTCGGCACAGAAAGGGAAAGTGGTTGACTACGTACATATACCGCTGCCTCTCTAAATGGCGACATCTCTACCTCTTTAAGTAACAACTTGTTATCCCTGCCGCTTTTCCACCATCCTAATAACGACGGTAATACCTGTCCCACTTGAGTTCATGGTGTTTTTCATTGTAGTTCTCTAAGAACTTGGGAACGAGCAGGTGGAAAATAGATAATAGAAGGCTATCATGCTCGGGTGCACAGTGGACCGATGACGTCTGGAAACGTCAATCCAGACAGGAAGTTCGTAAAGCTCGAGAGACGCCATAGCGAGAAAGACGCGATTTCATGGAATCGGTTTTCGAGCAGGGTACACACACGTAGCAGTATACGTGTACGGTATAAAGCGGGGCTTCGTTTTAATTAGCAGTAAACAGTCTCCATTAAGCCCGAAGCAGTAAATCAGCTGCACTTATAGCAGCCCCCGGACGACCCTCTTTCCCCGGGTGGAGGCATCTTCGTCGGCGTCGCGCAATGCTCGCAGGCCCAGGGAATAGAAGCAGAGAGAATGAGAAAGAGGAAGAGGAACACGGCGTTCACGGCGATGGGGGATTGGCCGATCGGGAGAGGAGCGCCGGAGGGGTGTACATTACATTTCAATTTGGATCTGTCCGTCCTTCTTGCGGGACGAGCACTCTCCGGACCACGGACCGAACGCGCTTCGCCCGAAATGGGGAAGCTTGCGAATTTTCCTCGATCCTCGAGCTTGTTGCCGAAGCAAAAGAGGAAAGAGAAACTATACCGTATTCTCCCTCTGCACGGGAACAGAGATTTCTCTCTTCGTGGAGAGGGGAGACAGTAGGAGAGCGTGAAACTTGCCGTCGAAAGAAGTTATGTTTTAACTTCGATTATTGATTCTCGGCTCTCCTCCACGCCATTAACAGACCAAAGTGATCAAGCCCAAGTTGTCATCACGAAAAGAACAATTAACCATGTTTCTTCCAATTATCCCAATCGCAGATGTTTTATTCATAAAGACCCTCGCATAAACTCCGGTGACTCTCCCTCTCCCCGGAAAAGGACATTCTTCGTCGATTGGTGAACCGAGCGTAGGACACCTTGAAGAACGTCGAGGTTCGTTTGGCTAACAGCGGTGGCTACGTTCCACGAGATAATTACTATTCTTGCCAGAGGAAAGAACGGACGCGTTTCAAACGGTTGACGCGCGTCAATCCCTCCGGTTGGAACGGGGCACGGTAAACAATCGCGTTCGAGGAGCAAAGTTACTCCAATTAGCAGCTGGGGTCTCCAATAATGCCAGCCTCTTCGTATTTATAACGTTAGCAGCCCCGTCTCTCTTTCTCTTATTCCTTGTCTGTCTCTGCTTTTGGTGGATCCAATAAGAGGCGACCTCCGCGTCGTTCGAACCGGCTCTCTTCCTCTCCGCTCTTCCCAATTAAACCGCGCCACGCTGCAACGAGCTTGCATACTGCGTACACCGATATCAATTACCGGGGCCAAGTGACACGACGCAGTCGCTGCGCCGAAAGGAGGACGATTTAAAAAAGAAAATCCACGGAAAGGGGGAAGCGAGCGTAGAGGGATGCCCGGGAAGACAAAGAGGAAGGGAAAAAGGAAAGGTACGAGGGAAGGAAGAAAGTGTAGGCATCGGATAATGAGAAAGAAGCTTGTAACGGGCTTAACGAGCGGCTAAGTATAGACGGGGTCCCGAACATTTTGCCTGTTCAAGGACGATGAGTTAGTCCTTCGTTTGATTAGTTTCGCGGGATGTTTCGGGCTCTTTCGAAAAAATATAGCCTCGTCGAAACATTTACAGGAACCAGTCAGAAACAAACCTAATGTATCTTTTCGGGGAGGAGAATACCGAGTGGCCGATTCTTTGATGTTCAACGTTGAGGTCAGTGGTATTCAAAAGCGAAGTATTCGATCGACGGACGAGCTTAATGGAAGCGTATCCGTCGAATAGTGGGGGCACGATCGGTCATTTAATTTCTTAAGTGGCATCGGGGCAAACATTCGGGTGGCGCGGGGTAAAGGGGGATACCTTATGAGGTCGATGCAAGGAGAAACGAAAT